TGACGGCGCCGAAAACTGAAAAATTTTCCAAGGACTTCATCCTAATTCCTGAGGATTTTCCAAGGAGGGTCTACGTTTACAGAGTGCGCTCTCTTTTCCATCTCTGCTTAAAGCCTTAAACTAACACAATGCATTAAACCACGAGTACCTCTCCCCCGATAAAATCTAAGACGTGTCGGGTAACGTGTGAATTGGGGAAGGGATCTAAGAAAGTGTATGATAATAAGGGAGGGACCCCACAGCGGCGCGTAAAATTTTTGGAATTCCCGCACGTGGCGGATGTCATCCGCTGCCATCAGACAGTCTAATCCGCATGGGATCCCACAGCGTCCGCATTGCAAGGGCGGTCCGCAGAGGTCGCTTTCCCGAAAAGGAAACAGAGGAGAAACTTTCCTTTTCGGGATAGTATTTTCGAAAGACCCGTGCGGGTGGTGTGGTCGAAGGACAGTTCCTGGTCTGTCCGTGTGGCTGTTCTGCTCGACGACGGGTGACACCTCGTGGACAAGTGACAAGCGAAATGCAAGAGGCGTCGCACAGCCCCGGAGCCTTCCATATGCAAAGTGGCCCGCTCCCCTTCGAGTTTTGGCGTAGAGCCGTTGGCGGTGTCCCACTGTGTGGGGTAGGCTGGGCAGCAGTGGCGGTGCCAACGGCTGAGTTCCAAGTGCGTTGGAGGGAAAAAACAAGTGTCCCACGCGGTCATCTTCACAGGGCACGCGGGACATCTCTGCGAAGGTGTGGTCGTGGAGTCGGTGATACCCATCCGCCATAGCTTGCACACCAGCAAGAACGTGTGTGCGGTGACGTCTGCCGTGACGTCTGTGTCGAAATATTTGTTGTTTTTGTATCGTTTCTGCTGGAGGCGGCTTGGCATGGCGGAGGGTGATGGTTCCATGGCCATGGATTGGGAAGGTGCAGGCGAAGTCGGGGAGGGGGGTGAAAGCGAGGACATCCTCTTCACCATGGTCCTGAGGGTGTTGGAGATGGTCCGGCAGCGAAATAGGGCGGCGCTATCGATTATCAACGTTGTTGCTGCAGCGTCGACGTCCTGCCCGGATGGCGAATGTTGTCATGCTCCTGGCATGAGGGTATGCGCATAGCGTGTCTCTTGTGTCTGCTGCTTACAGCTTCCTTGTGCAACGACGTCCGACCAGAAGGCGGTTCTGGGTGCTAGACAGGACAGGCGGGACATGGAAAGACCTCCAGTGGGTCGGTGACGCTCACGACAAGGTGTTTCGCAGATTCTATCGGCTTCCAAGAACGCTGTTCCAGGAGGTTGCTGCCCTCATCGGTTCCCATATCCAGCGACAAACAACGAATTCGAGACAACCATTACCTGCGGAGCAGAAGTTCGCATGCGCACTCATTCGATGGGCAACAGGAGGGTACTACAGACACATGGGTCATGGGTTGAGGATGGGTTTGGCGAGCGCTTTGCGCAGCAATGAGGAGGTTGGTGATGCGATTATCAGAGAGTACGGCCACCTCGTTGCGTTCCCCCAAGGGCGGCGTCTGCAGGAAGTGTTGGATGCTTTTGAGGCGAAAGGCTTTCGTGGGTGTGTAGGTGCAATTGACTGCACCCACATGTACGTTGAGAAGCCCAGGAACGAGCGGTCGGAATGCTACTACGACCGCACGAGACAATACTCCATTGTCGCTCAGGTAGTGTGTGACCACGAACGCAGGATCCTTGATGTGTTCGTTGGTTGTCCAGGATCTGTTCACGACTTCCGCGTCATCCGTTTGTCGAACTTGTACATAAACGCACAGGGCGGTCGGGGCATCTTTCATGAAGGTCACTCCTTCCTGTTCGATGGAACCGTCGTGCGGCGTTATGTTTTGGGCGACGCAGGTTATCCTTTGTTGCCATGGTTGATGACTCCCAAGGGAGGGGACAGCCGCACTCCAATGGAGATGTGCTACGATGAGTGCCATACCGTGGTGAGGAGTCCGGTCGAACGAACGTTCGCGCTGCGGAAGGGTGTGTGGAGGAACTTCAGGAGAAGGCAAATAGGCAACATGACAACCATTCGCAAGGAGTTCATGGCATGTTGCATCCTCCACAACCTTATGTTGGACATGAGGATTGACATCGATCCGGACGACCTTGGCAGTGACTCGGATGGGGACGACGACTCCGATGGTGATGACGGACGGCCACGCAGGCGACACCGTCGACGCAGGAACAATGTCCAACATGATCGGCCATGCCCGCAAGACCCGCGAGACGACACTTACGGCAGCACCGAGGGGAAGGTGGCAAAGGCGAGGCTCATGCGGCATGTTGAACACCATGTTCGAGTTCATGGTCGACCTGGTCCTAGTCCCTGTCCTTGGCGCGGTTCGTAGTGCCGTCTCTAGAAGAGAGAGAGAGAGAGAGAGAGAGAGAGAGAGATAGATAGATAGATAGA